GGGCATAGCGTCCTCCGCTAGCCACGCTATATATATGGGAGTGGATATTAATAAGGTCGATTCTGGAAGAGGGCGTTCCAGCATTCGACTGACCAGCAACAAGGCCTATGACAGCGGCCTCATAATCGGGAATATGGAGCACATGCAGTGGAGGAATTTGCGGGACGTGGCCTGCATTGTATGTTAAAACAAAGCCTATTCTCCCGGAGCGAGTTGACAATAAGGGAAACAATAAGGGACACAGTTATGATCGCCCATTAGTTGGATGTTTGCACCAAACTGGCAGGACAACGGAGAAATGGACATTCTAGAGGGAGTCCACAGAGCAAACCAGTAACTTTATGCCCATGCACACCAAGCGCGGCTGCAGAATAACCAATTCAGGTGACTTCGAGGGCGGCATTTTGACACCTGATTGCGACGTCCATGCTCCTGGACAGCCCGCCAATGCTGGTTGCTCCATCCAGTCCAAGGACACCGCATCGTATGGGCCTTGGTTCAACGCGAACGGAGGCGGAGTGTACGCCACGGAAATAAGTGAAACTGCAGTCTCCATCTGGTTCTTCCCGCGAAACACTGTTCCGGGGGACATTGAAACCGGAACCCCAAATCCAAAGGCATGGCCTAAGCCGATGGCCAAATTCCATGGCGCATGTGACGTTGCTGCCAACATCAAACAGCAGAAAATCGTATGTTATCGACTTGATTTCTTTTTCTTTCTTAATACGCAAATTTGCAGATGTGGCAGTTAACATATCCTTCCGTAGGTTTTTGATACCACGTTCTGCGGTGACTGGGCTGGGTCTGTCTGGTCCACCAGCAGCTGTGCAGCAAAAGCTGCGACATGCCAAGAATTTGTACAGCACAATCCGACAGCGTTCAAGGAAGCGTACTGGAACGTTAACTATGTCCGCTATTTCAGCAACAAGGTTCCTGGGGTGTATTGAGAAGCGAGGCTGCTGTCATTTGCTGTTGTTTTCTTGTTTGTTTTTTTTTTTTTTTTTTTTTTCAGCGCATTTTTCGGTGTACTTTTTCTCATTTCTGGAGGCAACGGAGTATATTTCAGTTTCAGCATATTCTTCTTCTTTGAACATACTTCATTGGTTATTATGTACATAAACGTTGGCGTTGTTGAGAACATCCTGTATAAGAAACATTCATCCATCCAAAGTTCTTATCGAGACGTGACTTTCGATACAAACGGTGCAAACTGCTTTGGCATTTCATCCATGTCGCACTGACTCGTGTAGGAGGATAACGTGTTGGGGGGATTGGATTTGGGTGATTCGTACCCTCTATCACCATGGCGCTGGTGGTGATTGAGCTCTTTTGCCCTAGTGGCCTAATATAACGTTCGTTGTCATTACTAACTAACTACTCCGTACGGAGTACGCGAGGGGGGCACGTGGTAGGGTAGCCGTAGTACCCACTAACTCGCGTAGTCCCGTGATTTAGCGTGTTGCCTGCCTGACTATTTATTTCTTCGCCGCCTGTTTATTCCTCCACTCTCATCCTCAAGACCACTTCCTTTTCCTACACCACGCGAGCACTCATCTCTATTCTCTCAATTGTTTAACTGCCTCTTCACACCTTCTCTTCAATGGCTGCTCAAGTAACCCCGTCGAAACAGGTATGCTTTTGACTTTCCCCGCGCCATCCCCCTCCTCTCTTGTGCTCGACGCGTCACAGACGATGGAGGACCGTGTCCAGCTAACAGCTTCATCCAGGCCGCATCCTCTCTGGAGAACCTCAAAATGAACGACTCTCCTGCTAAGAAGCTCAATTTCGAGCCTACCGGCAAGGAGAATGCTCCAATTCCAGTCCCTCTCGTCCTTGACCCCGAGCTCCTCAAGAAAACAGAGACTTCCGCTCGGAAACCTGAAGAAGGAGAGAAGAAAGCTCTGACCGGTGTAAAAGCCCTAGAGGCAGACGAGCCATTGCTTCAGGAGAATCCGAATAGATTTGTTTTGTTTCCGCTCAAGTATCATGAGGTATGTTCCCAGCCCATTCGACGCGTCACGCGTTAAGTGGTTCTTGTAAAAAAAAAATGTCAGCACAACATGGAAGCTAACTTAACGCGATTCCACAATAGATCTGGCAAATGTACAAGAAAGCGGAGGCGTCATTCTGGACTGCAGAAGAAATTGATCTCTCCAAAGATCTACACGATTGGAACAATAGATTGAACGACGATGAGCGATACTTTATCTCACATGTCTTGGCATTCTTCGCCGCGTCGGATGGCATTGTCAACGAGAACCTAGTAGAGCGTTTTAGTGGAGAAGTTCAGGTTCCAGAAGCACGCTGTTTCTACGGCTTCCAGATTATGATGGAGAATATTCACTCTGAGACTTATTCTCTCCTCATCGACACGTACATCAAAGAACCAAAGCAGCGGACATACTTGTTCGATGCCATTGAAACCAGTATGTGTCCCCTGCCTCCCGGAATCTAATTTAAAAGAAAGTTCCTAGTTAACGCATTCATAAGTTCCCTGCATCCGCAAAAAAGCCGATTGGGCCATCCGGTGGATCGAAGATAAAGACTCTACCTTCGCGCAGCGTCTCGTCGCCTTCGCTGCTGTTGAAGGCATATTCTTCAGTGGATCCTTCGCTTCTATCTCTGGCTGAGAAACGAGGCCTCATGCCTGGCCTGACGTTTTCTAATGAACTTATCTCTCGTGACGA